CGTTCTAAGACTTCATATTCTAGTTGATAAACTTTTAACAAGATATGAAGACCTATTAATTGTTTACGCTGATATTTCAAAGGTTTGTATCTTTATATCTTATACTTGTTGGCTAGTGCCAAAAGTCATTATTTCTCATCTGAAGAAATTATTTTATCAAAAGATTTTTTCTTTTATCAGTTAAGATTTGTTTTATTTTTTGGTTTTGAAAACGTTTTAGTAATTTTGAAATTCCTTTCTTGACAATTTAAAAGTCCGTTCTTAGAAACTTTAGGCTGCTTCTTAGAGAGCTATCTAGGATATAACTACAACATTCAAAGGAATTTCTTATAAAATGTTTTATAGCTTGGATAAATGTCATACCTCTGCGTTTGTTTTTATATCTTTGTGTCTGAATGATCGACTCCAAGCCTGTGCCCCAGGTACTATTTTCTCCTCTGGTACTTCTTCCCTTTGATTAGCAAATTGGCCTCCAGGATGTGATCTTTAACACAAGTTCAAACAAATTGGATATTTTATTCAAACTTAAACATTTTGCAAGAGTTCTTGTATGAACACTAGTTATTCATCCAAGCCTCTAGTTACAATCTTAAGTTGCTAAGAAGGAACCTTTCACTAAACACACATGGACATAAAAGAAAGCAAAAACTTCAAACTAGACTCTGGGTTAATTTATGATGTTCCTCATTGAAAATGTTACTCATCCTTTTATAGACCAAGGAATGAGGATTGATACAAAATGTTTTACATCATTCCTAACGTGAGCCATTTTGGCATGCGTTTTACCGAGAAACTTCTGGCCAATGAACTCAATCACACACTTTCCCACAATGCACTCACATCTTAGGTTTTTATTTTTTTTCCTTTATTCATGTCTTGAGAGCTGGATGATCTTGACGTTGTCTGGGAATCTTTATCTTTTTTCAAAGTGGTAGGGTCCACCATGATTGCTGCTTGACAACTTGCATTTGGATAGATATAGATGCTGCCAAGTGCTTCTCTATTTTTCTTGATATTTTTACAGATTTTCGGATGATGAAATTCTTGTAACAAGCCCTTTTGGAAGTTGATAATCTTGATTTCATCTTCATTACTCATAATTTTAAGTGATTTTGAATATACCAAATAATTTTTGTCTTGGTAATTCACAAACACTTTATCTTCCGAATTAAACTCCATTGTTTTTTCCACTAGAGTTTCATATCGATTGAGTCCGGCATCGTCGAGGTTGACGGGTTGGAACATTCTTGTTTCTGGTTTAATAAATTTTTCACCAGAACTTACCCCTAGCATGATTAAATGTTTTGCTGGGATTACTGCGTCGTTAAGCCAAATTGGCACCGAACTCATGATTTTTAAAAAAATGTCCTTGTCGCCTTGGATGCATTTTTTCCTGTAGTTCTCTATTGCCTTAAGAACATTAGAAGGTAGTTGTTTTAAGGTCTGACTAGGATATATGGTTTTTACCATCCTGTATTCAAACGCTTCAATAACCATTTCTGGATTTGCGTTTTTTATGAAACTAAAGAACCTTAAATCTTTTCCATTTGTTGTGAAGTATTTATCGGTCAAGATTTCCGCTTCACCACTGTTTCGGGCCAAATTGATCCAATAGTCCAAGCCTTCTTTAGAAAGTTGGGTCGGATTGGTCTGTTCATCTTGTTGGACTTCCTGATTGGGTTTCTTGGGGATTTTTCCAAGAGTTTGAAGCCTTTCTTGTTTTCTAGGCTTCTTTAGGGCCGCAGCGAATGTGTTGGGCTTAAGTCAATCTGCTGTGCAAATTAGCTCAAGGGGAGCCATTGCATTTGTTCTTGAGTACTGATCCGATGCAATACGAGCTTCGAAGAAACTTTTGTGTTTCTTATGTGGAACACCAGAAATGCCACTTGTTGCCTTTTTGGTAATCTCCCAATCTTCATAGATACCTGCATTTGGGCCATTGAACACGACATAATATGTTGTATCTTTTTTATTTGGGATTTGAATTCCCTTATCACTGTCAAGTGATTTTATCTGTTTAGGAACAGAAGTTCCACCGTTCGGTCTGAGGTTTAAACCATCAGAATTATCCGACGTTGTTGGTAATTTAATACCTATTTCCGCTTTTAACAAGTTGCCATCTATTAACAGATTTGATGGGTCTTTACCAGTAGCCGTTTGCTCTGGACTAGCTTCACCTTCAAGATCTATAAGATCTGAAGGAGATGAAATTTCCTCTTTTTATTCACAAGCTAGGGTTGCTACATTACTCGTTTGTTCCATTGTTGGAATAGAGACAGTAGTATCTCTTTTTTGTTCAGCTTTAATCAAGCTTACATACTTGATTTTGGCGCGGACCAAGTCAAGTTCTTGGGCCAGAAGTCCTTCTCGCTACCGAAGCTGCTCTATTTCATCCATTTCAGATGATGCTTTGTCAAGCTCAAATAGTGCCTGGGAAGCAACTCCCTATTGTCACCGCCTGTGACTGGTTATGTGCTCCGTTGAGCCTTAATCCTGTAACATTCTCGTGATAAAAAGTCTGCGGGGGCATTTTTGTTTCCTGCAATATGCTGTACATCAAATTCATATTGATTAAGCCACATTTGCCATCTAACAAGTCTACCTTGTTTACTATCATCTTTCATGTTGGTCTTTAAGAAATAAGTGAAGTTTTTATTATCTGTCCTAACGATAAAGGAGTAAGATAAATTGTAAATTTCTTTATGGTTTTTATTATCCCAAGATATTCTTCTTCATTTGAGTGATAATTCGTTTCAGCAGAATTAAAACTTCCTGAAGCATATCGACATATATACTCTTTTTGTTTAGATAGTGCTTTTAGAACACCACTCCAGTTTCTGTTGAACTTCTTCATTTGTTTTTGCTTTGTAGTAGCATTACAATTTTTTTCAATTTCTTCTCTCAATAGTCTTTTGGCATAACCAAAACTGTACTTCATAAGATATTCAGTTGTTTCATATTTCTTTGAAGCATCATCTCCTACAATAGGAATTTTGTTAAATACATTCTAATGTATTCAGGATGTTCTCCAAAATCTATTTTGAAAAGATTCTTTTCGAAATCACAATTGAATTCTTCAATATAACAAATATCACAAAGAGTCGGATTGTTTAATCTTACCTTTGCTTTAGATTGTTCCATAAGTTTTTCATTTTCTGCATTAGATACTCGATCAATGCCCAAAAACAGAGTATATAGACTATTCAGAATGCTTTCAAGCATAACTGCAGGGTCTATACATTTTGAGTATCCCATTGAACTCTTTTTATAAAATTTTGTGCATTTCCAAGCATTCTATGCTCAGCAAGTGCTAACACAAGTTGTGCCGTGTTAAAAGTACTGGGATTAAGATTGATCACAAGACTCATTTCTAGTCCCCATTTATCAATTAATTTCTTAATTGTTTCAGGTTTCAGACAACCTAAATTTAGATAAAACTCTAACTTTCATTCACCATTATGAAAGAGAAAATTTAATGAACCCTGGAGATAAAGTCTTTAGTGTTACATATGTTATAAGCTATGCTTTGACTAATAGTCATCATAGTATAGATTATACAAAAAGATCTTATATTGAACTAGAAAATATCTTTTCAGATGTAAGTTCAGTAGAAGAAAAAATCTTCTGTGAGCTAACACCTCTGGAAGAACACTGGCTAGTGATATAGCTAAAGTAAAAACGTTAATAGGAAATAAAAATCCTATGCATGTTAAGGAAAATTCTTTGATTATAGGAGAATCAAGTAGACTACCGGTCTCGGAGAAACGCTCTCTAGTTGATATGTCGGACATAATAGATAATTTATCCAAAATGTTAAAACAATTAACGGGATAAAAAATCCGAAATGGCAAATAGCAAAAAGCTACTGCTACACCATGGGGCACTACTCATAAGGGTAGCATCAAATCCACCGTTGAAAAACCAACACTTGTATTATTTAATTAAGTCGTGATTTTTTTTTTTCCAAACGATAAATTTTATTGAAAAAACACACAAATACAAACTAGTAACAGCGAATCCGCTGAGAAGCCAACCAATTAGCTAAAACTAGGAGGGAGAACTACACAAAGTGTAGTATAGAACCTACCTACACAACAACACACAACACAGTAACACAACCAAACTCCCACCACAGGAGAAAAAAACTTCCACAAGAGGAGAAAAACACTCCCACAAGAGGAAAAGCTCTCAATCAGAAGAACCGAAAAACACAAACCTACAACAAACAATCACAACACAACACACAACAAACATCAACATACAACAAAAGCTAATACTAGAGAAAACTACGCCCTCCCCACCGGACACCCAACACAGCACCAACACGACCGAACCAAACATCGAGACACGACCTTCCTGGAGGAAGCCCCACGGCCACACCGGACCCCAGATCTGAATCCTCTTCCCGGACTCGCAACT